TCATACTGATGGCGCTGAAACTTCAGTGCGGAGAGTAACGGATGAAGCCCAAGAAGTGGATTTTATGAGGAAATCTAAGGATCTTAACTTCCACAGTTGTGTTTTTTAATTGCTTCAAAGCCACCAAGAGCAGAGATCCATCAAGTGGAGCTCACAATGCCCTCCTGTCTCAAGAGCTGGCGAGAAGCAAGAGTCTGTTCATCTGCTGGGATTGCTTCTTACATGCTTCTCAGATAAAAGTTCTTAATTATTCCACTTGTGTGAGGCAGTTAAAATAATCAAGTCATAGAAGTAGAACAGTAGCTACCAGGGAAGCGGGCCATTGATCTATGGGCACAGTTTCCATTCCGTACAGCGGAAAAGCTCTCAAAAGTGCACTGCTGAATTACAGACCTGCACACTTAAGGAAGGCTACCATAGCCAGGAAGGCAAGGCACACCTGTTATCCCAGCAGTTTGGAGACTACAGCAGGAAAAAGTTCTCAAGTCTGAAGCTATCTGGGCTGCCTAGTAACTTTTGTCTCAAAATAAAAAGGGGTGAGGGGAGGGATGTTGGCAAAATGGCTCAACTGGTAAGATTCTGGCCACCATGCCTGACAATCGGAGTTCAGCCCTCAGGTCCCACATGGTAGAAGAGAAGCCATTCCTGCAAGTTGTCCTCTGACCTCCCCACACACATGCTGTGGCATGTCCCCATACACTACACAAAATAAATAAATGGATGAATAGATAGATAGATAGATAGATAGATAGATAGATAGATAGACAGACAGAAGTTATAATAATGTTAAGTTATGTGCATTTCAACAAATTCTTTTCCAAAATAGCTTTTGTATTTTAAATAGAACTTAGCACCAAATACAGGTTCTTTCCATTTTGCCAAGGAAAGAAGAATTGAGCTATCATTTGCTGATTGATGAGCACAAGTGACAGACCTCCTGTGCATGTAGAGCACAGGACTAATGGCAGAAGCCTCAGCCTTGGATGTGGAATGAGATCCTACTTGAGTTCACAGAAGCTTGAAGCAACCTTGAGCTGTCCATTGCATCACGTTCTATGGACACAGTAAAGCAGGAGGCATGAGGATGCTCACTCAGCCTCATAACAAAATCGCAAGCAAGGCATCCTTCCTCTGGGCTGGTGGGGTATAGGAAGAGACCGATCGTTGGTGTGTGGAAAACGTAGTATCGACTTCTATAAAAGCTGCACTTCTCTTACTTATGGCAAAGACATTCTCTCTCCCCATGTCTCATTCTCCACATTTTCCTGGACTCCCAGAGGAAAACACTCCTACCCCCCCCCTTGCTACCAAACAGGACTATATGACCCACGCCTGTGGGTCTCAGGCAATGAAAAGCTATTCTTCCTGAAGGGAGAGCTCTGGCAAGCTCATATGGAGGCAGTGAGGCCATGAACATGAGTCTGTGAGTCACGCTTGGAAGGGGCCTTCTAGAGACCACTCAGCCCACAGCAGGCTTTGTGCAGGTCAGAAGTGAGCTACTGAGTGTTAAGCCATGGGGACTTGGAAGGTTTCTGTCGCTTCATGATTGCCCACCTGGCTTATCTAATACACTGGCTGGTGGTTGGCTGGGATTCAGCAATACTGGTGCTGAAATGCTAGTCTATAAGATAATTTACAGGCTCTCTTCCCTCCCCCTCCCCCCACCTCTCATAGCCCAGACTGGCTTGAAGCCCACTAGGCATCCAAGGATGAACTTGAGCTTGAGCTTCTGACCCTCAAGCCTCTACCTCCCAGGTGCTGGGGTTTAGATGTGGGCCATTACACCTGGCCATTTGTTTTTCTTGCCTCCAGGTAAATGGGAAAGAACCTTGTGGTAGAAAAAAAAAAAAACTAAAATAATTGGCTCATTCTCACATTGACACAGGGTGATGTTCTCAAGCAAGTGTGTTTCATCCTACAACATCAAGATGCTCTATAGCAGATTTCCTCTCTCCAGGTGTGTGTGTGTGTGTGTGTGTGTGTGTGTGTGTGTGTGTGTATAGGCCCAAGGTTGATGTCAAGAATCTTCTTCTACTCTTATTGGCAGAGTCTTTCAATTAAACTCAGAGCTCACTGAATTATAGGCCGGAATTACAGAAGAGCTAGCACACTATCTGACATTTTCATGGGTTCTGGGAATCTGACATCTGACCCTCTTTGCTTACACAGTGAGCACTCTAGCCACTGAGCCATCTCTACAGCCCACTGCAGATTTCCTAAAACATAGTACTCAAAAAAATCTTAGGCATTTCATGAATAGGATTTTTTTTTCATTGCCCTGTTATTTGAGAGTGAATGATATTTTAAGTGGGTTCATGTTTATTGGAGAACATGTTGGAATCATATCAAACCTCTGATCTCATGGATACTATTTCTTAGAGCAATGCTAAAGGAAACATTGATTTTTTTAAAATGGGCATTTTTTTTGGAAACTAGCAAATATCCCACAGGCTAGTCTATGGGTGGGTATGGCAGAAATCAGGAAGCTAAGCAAAAGTTTAGCACACAAGGTCCTCGACCATGGCAGGGAGCCTCTATAGAGCTAGTATCGATGCTGCAAGGTTGCAGCCTCCCTCTCTGAAGCCCAGGGAAAGGTCTCCTGGCCCTGGCCTGACTTTTCCCATACCACAAAGCCAAGTAGTCACACTGTACTTGCCTAGGGCTTCCTCCAGAGACCAAGCAGCTATCAGTGAGACTACAGAAGTTGCCAGACGGCACTAGGAACAGTGCCTGATAATCCATCTCATCTCTGTCTTCTCTTCTTAGATCCCCAGGTCCCATCATCATGAGCTGACCTGATTGTTTGATCCATCCCATAAGGGAAACTTCTGCTTTGGGCTGACAGGAGGAAGAGGTGGAGGCCCAGAACCCTGGGCAAGGGCTGAGTCTCTCCTGCCCAGACATTGCTGTTATGTTTAGCCTGGTCCCCTGCCAGAGTTTCGGGTGCAGTCTGAGCACCTGGGTTCTCTGGTGAAATGTGGTAAAAATGCAAAGATAGGTAGATTGATCTGGCCTCCCACATGTTTAGGTGTTAACACAAACTGAAATGTGTGAGTAACTTGCCCTGGTCAGACCTCCAAAGACTGCTTTAGTGTTGGTATCACTGACACTGTATTCTGCTGTGTTTAGCTAAAGGTGTCATCTTGTTTGTCTCATTGTTTTCCCCAGCTTCTACCTTAGTTTGACCCATGAGAAGTCATAATGCATTCTGGTACTTATCTTCTATAAAAAGGAGTTGCAGCTCACTCACCATCACGGCCATATCGCCTTGTCCCTTAACAAAAAATTTGTCCTGTGGCAGTGGCTGAGGCTCAGCTCTGTCCCCCTTCTGCCCATAGCAATTCCAGGGCTCTTCATTCTATAGACTTCTTCTAGGAAACGAGCAGAAGAAGGAGAAGGAGGAAGGAATTCTGAGAATACAGCATTGCCCTCCCTTCCAGACCAGAGCATGGAAGACTGGCCCAGTCACCTGGGTATCCAGGGTAGGATGTGGGGAAGTAAAAGAGAATGTCCAGCATGAGTGCAGGGAACAATTGGCTGATATTACACATAGAGAGCATCTATGAACCCATGAGTCTACCAGGAAGAGGAGGAGGAAGAGGAAAAGGAAGGGGAGAGACGGGAGGAGGGGAAAGACAGGACCATGGAGGAGGGGTAGGAAGACAGGAAGAAGAGTAGAAAGAAATGAGGGACAAGGGGAGGAAGTGGGAGGGGGGGACAGAAGGAACTAGAATAGTTCTCTTAAAGGGATTTTTTTTCAAAGAATGAGCAAACACTACTGATTTGTCGTTCTACTTGGGAGCACAGAATCCTTACAATTAGAGCTCTATGAGCAAGGCAATTTTGAATTTTCAAGTGAGTTGAACACAAAGGTGGAGAATATGCAGGCCACATTGTTGGGGGTGGAGGGGCATAAGAAGTAAGATAAAAGAACAAGTGGAGGCAGTTTTGTCTAGTGATGAAATGCCCCCTGCCCCGGGATTGGCCTAGCCTCTCCTAAGTTAGTGTTAGGGCCTGCCAGGGCAGCAAAAATTTCCAACCAGGCCCTGGGGGACTCTCCCAGCACCTTGAGAGGTTAGTGGGGGCTGCTGGGCATGTGGGTTGGACATCCCATTGTGTCAGCCTGTGTGGCAGAGGCTCTCAAGAGAGGGGAGCCAGAAGGACATGGCTTGCCAGAATGCCTCAAGAGCCCCAGCTTCTCCCTTTGAATCTCACCTCCCAGGAGAACTGGCTCCTACCTGGACTAGGGGATCACAGGCCACCTGACAGTCTGTCTTAATAAGGACCATAACATCTAACCCAGGTCACAGAGGCCCTGGCAGACCTACCATGGGCTTCCCTAGCCTGAGAGGCCCTCTGAAAATAGACTAATTCTGACTGAGCTTTGCCAATTCAGGTCTGTCTGCCAGAAGACATCATCAGCTCCATTCCTAGGGGACGAAGGTCTCCTGACTGACACATACGTGCTGCCTGTGTGAAGCGGGCACCCGCACTGACTTCTGCTTTGACTGTTATGTTTCAGAGACTGGGTGTTTTGACCCACGGGGTTATCTGAGTGATGGATGATAATGGAAGGGCTACTGTCATTGTAGCAAGCTCCATCTCCTTTGGTTCGAAAACACAATGTGCTTGTAGATAGTGCATCCTTGCAACCCGAACTTTGGCATGCACTGAAACCAGAGGCTAGAGATTCAGGGCCGCACTCCCTTATTTATTGCCCAGTGCACGGTCTGAGACCCTGCAAAGAGACATTTGTCTGTGAGTTTGGTAAGGAGTGGTGGGAAAGGAAGAACGTGCAGGCACACAAGCACATAGGGGAATCCCTTTTGTTTCCCCACAGCTTCTTCAAAGGAATCAGCATCTCTGACTCCCTTTGAGGACGTCCCTGTGTGGGTGGCTCTGTGGGTCTCCCTGCAATAACAAAAAAAAAAAAAAAAAAAAAAAAAAAAAAAAAAAAAAAGCAAAAAACCGAGGAACCTTGGATTGGTTCTTCCCTCAAAATGCAGAGTCTGGGTTTTAAAAAAAGATACAGATACAAAGCATGCCCAGAGAGACGTCAGCACAGAGTGGAGTGTGGGCTGAGGAATGCTGCCTCCTCGGGAGGTGACAGTCAAAAGCGCTGGCTCATCGTGGGTGTCAAAGGCCGTGTGCTGCAGGTAAATAGCGATGAGACGCTTCCCTCCCACTCAGATTCCACACTGGGAGCTTGGGTACTGCGGGAGCCTCATCCACTACCGGCTCCATTCATACACAGCCCTGGCTCTTTTCAAGGAAGCCCACAGGCTTCTTAGAGTGTCAGGCATCAGCCCAGAGCAGTTCCAGGGACAGACACAGGAAAACTGTCACTTCTCACTCCTGGTGCTGGCATTTATGTCTTCTTTTGTTCTTGGTGAAATGTCAGTTTTCCAACAGCCATTGCTGTTTCAAGCTACTGTGACTACATATTTATTATAAGCAAACTTGGTAGAAACCAACCCCACCTGCACAGATGCCAGCCCCTCCCCCCCCAAAAAAAAACCTTGCATAAAAGAGGATCTTTCCGCACAACTAAAGTGATCTCATGTGGACAAAGAATGAAACCACCTAAAATTCCATGAATAAATAGACCATAGGAACCTACCAACTATGTTAGGACAATGAATGTCAAAAGTGACGTTTATAGCAAACAGTGTAGGATGGTATAGCTAAAGCTATGATGAACGTTCAAAGGCTGTGGGCTTCAGAGGAGCAAGAAGGCACGGAGGGAGTTGTGAGAAAGCCTGGTCAGAGAAGGGATGAATGACACACAGACACACTACGGTTTGTAAGAGGCTATTGCCTTGTAACTTACCTTTTAAACACACTGCGGGGGTCTGAGGAGATGTCTCCACATATAAAGCGCTTGCTCCGAAAGTGTGAGGGTCTGGGATCGGAACCCAGCATCCCCACAAAGATCCTGCATTGAAGGCACATGTCTCTGACCCCAGCTCTGCACATGGTGAATAGTAGGGGCAGGTGGGCCCCAGGGGATTGTTGGGCAGCTGGTCTAACAGAAATGTTGAACTCCAGTTCAGTGAGAGACTATCCTCATAAGTTAAGGCCACCAAGATGGCTCAGTGGTAAAGGTGCCAGCCACTAAGGCTGATAAACTGCTTTCAATCCCCCAGACACTATGGGGTGGAAGAGGAGGACTGAGACCCCAAAAGCCATCCTTTGGCTCCCAGATACACGTGTGAATGGGCCCACGCAATGCATCCACTAATCCACACACACAAATAAATAAATAAAACTTCCATTAAAAAATTTTTAAAAAATACACATGGCAGGGATTGGTGAGACAGTTCAGTGGTTTAGAGCACTTGCTGCTTGTGCAGAGGAACAGGGTTTGGTTCCCATCACCCACAGACAGATCGCAGCTGTCTCTAACTCCAGTTCCAGGGGATCCAATACCCTCTCTGGCCTCCAAGGGCCCTGAACACACACACGGTGAACATACAAACAAACAGACACATGTGCACACACATGAATAAACTTGCAACAGAATGAATAAATGAGCTAGGTGACAAGTGACAGAGGGAGACATGCAGCGTGAGCCTCTGATTTCCAGGTTGCCCGTGCTCAGGTAAGCACACCTGCACACACACCTACACACACCTGCACACAGGCACATACGCATACAAAATAAAGATATGTTCTAGCCACATAGTGCAAAGGATGCTTCCACAAAGCAAAACCTGCCTTGGCTCTGAGAAGTGGTTCATCCCCCCAGAGCCATTTAGGATAGATACTACCTTTGCAATCGTGGGTGTTGGTCTCAGCCAGTGGCACCTGTGTAGCCTTGCCTGGAAGACTTCTTTTCTAGTTACTTTTTGTAGTGAGGTACAATAGCCCTTATCCCACTTCCACAAGAGCATTTTAACACAACGTAAGTTTATGACATGGCAGAGAGGCGGGTTCCCTGCAAAGGAGAGGCAGAAGAAGCAGTGCACACTCAGGCACTGCAATCTCATAAAACTAGCTGTGGTTTGCAGGTATTGGTCTACCACCAGCCAGAGTGCAAGCGGAGTAAAAATCTCTGGCAGGAGCTAGCTGCATTCTGGATGAAGCTTTTTGCAGGCTGGTGAATTCAGCGCAGTGCCAGACTTCTGTGTAGGAAGACCAGCAAACACCTACGTGGCATAATTTGAGGTGTATAACAAGGCCCTACTGGCCATAAAATTGCTCTTTGCAAAACCTACAGCAGTCGGGCATCCTCAGCTGCTGCTCTTAGTCCAACGATGGCTACACACCAAAGCAAACACACACCAGGGCCCCTGCCTTCAAGACCTGGCAAAGTAATTAGAGGCAGAAGTAAGAAAGCCTTGTCAGTGGTGAGACCGTGGAAAATAAGGGCTTTGAGGACGGCATGGCTTGGAAGGGAGGAAGCATGGGTTAGAAGGGAGAAGGGGGAGTCACAAAGCCCAGTGACAGCCTTAAGAGTGGCTTGGTCCCTGAAAGTGCCTGCTACACAAGCATGAGAACCTGAGTGTCGGCCCCTCAAGCCCTCCTCCTGACCTGCCTCCTGATGAGAAAATACCAAAGGCTGCTGAATCACGAGGGACGGAAACTACCATGCTCCCCTGTGCTCCTTAGCTCCGGCAATGTGTCACCTGCTATTATATCAAAAGTTCTTGTCCCACCAAACCCACATCCAGTTGTTGTGAAATCATGCAAGAACTGCTCCAGATAAATAAAGCCCTTCATGCAGAAAGAACATTGTCCTGGAAATGGTCGATAATTTGCAGTTTTGTTAAGTGGGTGGGAGACGGTGTCGGCACTATTTGGTCTAGGATGCCAAGCAAGCTCTTTTAGGAGGAGCTGCCTGAGCTGGGTCTGTTTCCATACACCCATAGTTCTAGCACTAGGGAGACTGAGGCAGGAGAGTTATGAATTACAGGGTAGCCTGGGATATATAGAAAGACTCCATTTAAAAAAAGAAATAAAGCGCCAGGAGCACGCCTTTAATCCCAGCACTTGGGAGGCAGAGGCAGGTGGATCTCTGTGAGTTCGAGGCCAGCCTGGTCTACAGAGCTAGTTCCAGGACAACCTCCAAAGCTACACAGAGAAACCCTGTCTCGAAAAACCAAAAAGGAAAAAAAAAGAAAAATAAATAAATAAAGATGCCGTTTATAAAGCAAACCCCAAAACTGTTGCCTGTCTGGGAAACCAAAAACAAAGTCCTTTGAAGATGTGTACCTTCGCTTACATTTGCTTCTGAAAGCCATGATGCCATCACGGGAGATGGCTCACACAAATATGGAATGAGGAGAGCAAGAAAGAACGCTTCAGGTGTGTGCTGGGTTTGGAGGTGGAAAGTGGGTTCTCTGAATATGTATGCTGTGGATATGTGGATATCTTTGCATGCATGTATATTGTAAGTACTCTTGTGCACCTGTGTGTATGTGACATATACGTTTATGAATAAATATGTATGCAGGTGTCTCCTAGCTCAATACAGTCAAAGGGCTAGAAAACAAAAACAAAGACAAAAACAAAAAACAACCCAGTAACACCCAGATCCTGGATTCTCCACAGATGGGGTAGGACAGGTGTAGACCTGGCTGTACCTGAAAGTGAGGAACATGTTCAAGACAACAAGGAGGACACTGAGCCAACTCAAATAGGCTGTTCTTGGCCAAAGCAACTGAAATAGAGAATTTCACATACTAACCATGAATCCTAAACACTGAAAGCTAGGTGTGGTGAACAGAAAGGTGGCTTTCTGTTAGTTTGAAGGAATCTTGGGCTACACAGTGAGTTCTAGGCCAGTCTAGGCTACAAAATAAGAGCCTCTCTCAAAACAACATAAAATACAAAACTAGATAAATGATGATGAAAGGGACAGACTAGAAGTTTTGCCCATAGTTGAAGGCAGAGGGCCAAACAGCAGTGTTTTGTTCAGAGTGAACACCACTTCCAAATAAAGAACTTCAAAAAGAAAGGCTTTCGGCTTAGATAGTGAGCACTTGTAATTCTTGCAACTTGGAAGCCTGGGTCTAGAGGATCATCAGTTCCAAGCCAGCCCAAGACCCTGCCTTAAAAACCAAAAAGAATGGAAGGCAGAGGCGGGAGGATCACTGCAAGTTCCAGTCCAGCCTAGTGAGACCCTGATTCTAAGAAATGGGATGGGAAAGCCGGACGCTGGTGGTGCACGCCTTTAATCCCAGCACTTGAGAGTCAGAGGCAGGCGGATCTCTGTGAGTTCGAGGCCAGCCTGGTCTCCTGAGCGAGTGCCAGGATAGGCTCCAAAGCTACACAGAGAAAACCTGTCTTGAAAAAAAAAAAAAAGAAAAAGAAAAAGAAAAAGAAAAAAGAAAAAGAAAAAGAAAAAGAAATGGGATGGGAACAAGGGGAGAAAACTAGCACTTCACAGCCCCAGGAAATAATTCATTCCATGCTTTGTCCTTCAATTACAGCTGGAGATTATTTGTCTCACTCACTTACTTGAGTGTAAATCTCAAGCTATTGAAAGTGACATTTTCCAATGTGAAAACTTCTTCCGGGTCAATGGAATCTTCCACAGGGTTGTGGAGCTTGGTAGAAGAGTTCAATAGATCATCTTGTCAAAAGCCAAAACTCTGCTAGCTTGATAGACACTAACCCTGTCCACATCCATCACAGTGTCAATCTTCGATGCTATCTTTTATGTAATTGTCACAACAAAACCAGATTCAGTTTTCAATAATATCAAGGTTTCTCTCATTGGCTCCTAATGCTCTTTTCTTTCTTCTTAATTTAACCCCAACCACTTACAAAACGTTTCCTGGAGCTGTGTTTGTGGCCCAGCTGTTAAGTGCATCTCTAGCAAGAATAAAGCCCTGGATTTGATCCCCAGCACCAAGTAAAACCAGGTGTGGTAGTGTGTACTTGTCATTTTAGCACTCTGGAGGTGGAGTCAGGAGAGTCCAGAGTTCAAGGTCACCCTTGACCACATATTCAACGTTATCTTGGGACATAAGAGACCTAGGAGAGGACAGAGGGAGAGAGGGGGGAGGAAGGGACAGAGAAGAAAGGAAGGGAGGGAAGAGAAGGGAGATCAAACCTAAGATGAATGTTTTTACATTTGTCTGTACATAGTTCAACAGATCATCCCAAGGCTAAAGGAGTGTATACAGCTGTTCTTACAAACCTAATGTCTACTTTGCCTGCTGGCCAGAGAACAGAGCTCTCCATGAATGATGGTCACTGGAGA